TGAAAAGAAGTGGGAGACAAATGAAAGGAAGTGGGAGACAAGCCAGCTGGGAACCCGACCACAAGCACCCGCCTGGGAGACAAATGAAAAGAACTGGGAGACAAATGAAAAGAAATGGGAGACAAATGAAAGAAAGTGGCACCCAGCCTGGGAGACAAATGAAAAGAACTGGGAGACAAATGAAGGGAAGTCAGAGACAAGCCGGCCAGGAACCCGACCAGACCATCCAGCACCAAGGCGACCATTCTGTAAAGCATTGAGAACCCCTAACAGTAAACTGTTTGGGGAAAAAATATGAAAGAAGAGAAACACGCATGGGAAATCCATTCTCCAAGGGTTTAGACTCTTGGTCACCCATCGACCAATTGCACGGGTGAAAACATCGTTGACACCGTTCACTCAGTGGGTCTCAGTGAGAAAACCGGGTCCCACCCTGCACCATGGGCTGAAGTCCCACCCTGCACCGGACGTCCTTGTCACGGCCTCGGCCTCTGCCCTTGCCTTTGCCCCTGGGTTTCTTCTCCTCCTGGGCCGAATGCTGGCCAGCTCTGCATGCGAACGCGAACGCATGGACATAGGAGGTGAGACGTTTGTTCAAGAGCGATGGTTGCCACGGTGGTGCCCTTCGTCGGCATGGTGAAAGCGGTCTTTCGATGGCCAAGATTGCCAAATTGGTCTGGGGCTCATGGGGTCTGGCGCGCCATCCCATTCTCTCTTGAACAAGAGCATGTTTTTTTAGTGAGAGCCCTATCCCGGACATGTCGGAATTATCATAATGCATGTATATAGATGTATCTCTGGCGCTCAAGTGGTTTTCAAAGGGGTCAACCCAGTGCAAGTACTTCAGCACCATCAACAAGTCGTATTGAAGAGTTCCCTGAGTTTAGAACACGCCCTGTGGGGATACCAGCGCCCCAGTTGATCAAAACGGATTGGCTTTGGATTGGTGGATTGAAATCTTGACTGATACCCTTTGCCCTTTTGCCATCACACCAATGCTTCACGTCCTGCCTATCCGTCTATCTACATATCTCTACGTCCCTCCATCCATCTATCCAACCCCATCCTTTCATTGTACTACAACCAGGAACATATAGAATATATACTGTAACTACCCCTGTACCCAACTCTACCCATATAGTTTCCGTGGCTCCCAAACCCCCCCATCTCTTTCGTCTCCTCAAAGCCGGGCTCCACCTCCTCCGACGGCCGCTTCCGCAGCGGCCGCCCGCGCAGTGCGGTGGCGGGCGCAGTGGGCACGGGGGCGGTGTCCACCTCCTGCCACACTCCAACGATCAAGAGATAGCCATACAAGAACGCTACTAGGGGCTCCTGGCCTTACTTCTAGGAGCATTCTTACGACTAGTAACAAGAACGCTACGAACGGAGCAAAGGGCATCGCTACGAACGGAGCAAAGGGCATCGCTACGAACGGGGCTCCGATCGCCTTAATACTAGTAACAAAGGACGCTACTAGTAGCAAGGTGCATCGCTATTAGTTATAAGTGGAAAATGTCTTGCGTGGCACGTGAAATGTCATGAGTCTCATCACTTTGAGTGCTGGTGCAGGGTACAAATAGCGCAGTCTCTCCAAGTCATTAAACATGGAAGTGGAGTTCACCACCTGTTTGTAGAGGATGTGGTGTTCATCCCAAAAATCGGTGGCCATGCCATCCCCTTCCATGGTGAATTCAGGGAGAGTATGCGGCTCAAATTAGTGAACCCAGAAAATGGAATTGGGGATGCCGCCTCCAAACCAGTTGCATAAGACTCGGGCATTCCAGAAGTCCCCATGGCTCTTTGAAGCGGGCACAGGATTCTCCCTGGTCCGTCGGACGAGTCTGAGGGAGGATCCCCAAATTCTCCAAGGATTCAGCTGAAGGCATGGACATGTTGGCATGCTCCTGACTGACTTCCTCACCTTCCTTGGGCCGGTCTTTCCACCGTCGCATCGTCGCTAGCGAATCAACCTGCAATTGCAAGACACAAAGCAAATCAGAGATGCTGATCGGGCCTTCAATCTCAAAACCAATCGCATCTTGCCAAACAAAATGCCTCGCAAGTCGTTTTTTGAAAATACAGGGAACCCAAATGTTAGAAGCCAACAAAATATCCAATCCAAGCAGGAAGGAAATCATGAATGCTGATCTGGCCTTCAATGTCAAAGCCACATGCACCTTGCCAAACGAAATATTTTGCATATTGTTCTTTGAAAGCACAGGCAAGCCAAATGTCAGAGGCCAATCCAAGTTCGCACATACCCTAAGGGCCCCTAAGGTCATGGCTCACGCGCCATCACCCGCAGCCCATCAAGCAGTGATACAGCGACTGCACAAACCAGAAAGGATTCCATGTCTGCAGGTGTTGTTTTTCTCTTTTTGAAGAACACAACTGCAAAGTAGCAAGCAAAACGTTTCATCGCAGTAGTCTCGTGTTCAATGATCGCACAAGCACAGCCAAGACGATTTGACAAACATGCTTAAGCATGTCAAAATTTCCACACATATCAACTTTGGCTGCGAAGCTTTCAGGAGCCTTTTTCAGAGTTCAAGGGTTCCAGGGTGGGTTCCAAGGTTCCAAAGATCCAAGGTTCCAGGGTTCCAAAATTCCAGATTTGATTTCATGCGCCGCCCTGCCCCCTCCCCACATGACCCAAATGTCGAGTTCTAGCATTCACCTTTTCAGGGTTCTAGCGTTCACATTTTGAGGGTTCCACGATTCCAAGGTTCCAGGGTTCCAGGGTTCCAGGGTTTCAGGGTTCCAGGGTTCCAGGGTTCCAATGTTCCGGTTCCCGATTTTGGGCTCCGCAGTCGGAGGGGGGCACCACTCCCAGACCTGGAGATTGAAACCCAACAGTCATACTGCTGTTGGGAACAAGTTGCATCAAAACTGTTATGAAGGGTGTCCCGTTCTTTTCGCCTTGCCACGCTCCGCCGTCTCCACCAGCAAGAACTTCTCAGCCGATCCTGACGGGCACGTTTGTTCGATTAGGGCGAGGCGCCTGACATGCTGAAACCGCCCCCAGGCAGATTCTGATTTACAAGGCACCTGCAAAGTAAATCTAAGTTCCGAAAAGGAATGCTAAAAATGGTCTCAAAAACCAAGTTCCTCTGCTACTCCATGACTGGCTGTGTGCTCTCTGCGAGGAAGTGGGAGATCGCCCACGGAATCTGGATCGAGCCGTTGGCGAAGACCTTTTCCCTTTGTTCCAAGACCAATGTCAATAATGTCAATAATGTCCAAGGAGGAGTCTATCAGATCAGGAGGCCGACTAGGGGTGGAAGCTTCTGGTCGTGATTTCTCTTTCCCAGCATCAACCCAACTCTGCATCTCCCTGCCACGTCCTCCGCAGAGGCGTCGTACCACCGCGGCACCCAGCACCAGCAGGGCACCCAGTAGGAGCAGCAGCACCGCCGGCGGCATGGCATCGAAGTGTGCTCCCGTGGGTCACGCACTTCGAATAGACGATATCGATCATTTCCGAAATAACATACATTCATACTGCTATATATCCATGACTAGTATGTGCATATACGCCGAGGTAGATCACTGCAACCTATTACAGTACTATGACTTGACCTACGATTGACGGCAACCGATGTATGTCACCAAGATCCTCTCGAGGCAACTTGCTGGGCGCTCTCGCCCGCCGTCCGTCGAGCCCAGACCAGCTCCCCCGTGAAGGGCCCCAGTGCCGAGGAGGTCGGCGTCTCGTGGGAACCGCCCTTTGAACGTGGCGTTCAAACGACTGTAGAAGGAGTTCCCGTGGGAGTTAGACCAGGTCAACCATTCCCACTCAGTCCAACACCAAAGTTTAACGATGTCGTTTACATAAAGACAAGTCTTTACTTAACAACAACCTTTCACTCCATCCCTTCCACCAACAGCCCCAGCAAGACGGCAGCCAGCAGCAGCCAGTGGCTGCTGACATGATCATCAAGTGCGCCTGCCTTTTGTCTGCAGGGTTATCTGCAAGCGCGTCTCCGGTTGATTTCATTCAACCGTTTCATATGGGAACGCATGGCTACCAATCTATATGGAGCCTTTTTGGCAATGCTCCGAGCAAGATCCCTCCGATCACTCAGCTGGCAGATTCCTTGGGGTTCAGGTCTTAAATCATGAATTAAGTCAAGGGTACACGAAACTATATGTTTCAGATCCAGATAATTCAGTTGAGATGCGTTTGCACCATTTCATCTGGTCTTCGTCTATGAAGGTATGCTCAAATCTAGGCGAGTAGCCTTAAGGAAAGTGCATGGGGCGATGTCAAGACTCAATTATTGCACACTTGAAACTAATCAGCTAAGGGACGACGGCGGTAGCAGTCGATCAACTGATGGTGAAATTTCTTAGCGCCCACTCACAAACACAGCAGCATCAGCATGTAGCTTGTCAGATCTACACGGGCACCTGGCCTACCTGCAGGCGCATTCCAAGTATCGTGGATTTTGGGTTTACCCAACCAGAAGAGGAGATTGTGCCTCCAAGGCTTTCAATATGCACTTAAAGGTAAAAATCACAACGGTAGTCACATCAATTTCCATGGTTGTGCCTTTGGCTCATTGCTGTGAGTAGCCGATGTGTTCGAAGGAATTTCATCCCATAAGAATAGAGCGATTCAGCCTCTGATCTAGACCTCTGTTCAGATACCAAGGTCTATAAAGCAAGAGCAGATGTATATTGTAGGATTCAAGCGTGCTGCCATGTTGCAGGTACCGCCCTGCCGACTCCATAGACAAAAAGAATCGATTCAGTGCGTCCCTCAGATCTGTGCATGAAAGAGCAGCACTGGGCCCTGGGAAAAAGAGGTACACTAACAGATCCAATACTGTAATATATATATATATATGTATAGTTTTTTCTTTCCACCCCAATGAAAAAATCATTTCAATCCAGCTGGGGTGCATGCAAACAGCGGAGGGCTCCAACATGTCATGTTTGGGCCAAGTCCCCTCATGGGTTTCAACTCTTGATTGAATCCATGCTCCACAGAACCGGCTGGCAGGCACAGCTCTATTTAATGCAATGTTCAGGCAACTAGAAAGCCACGCTAGGATCACTCGAGAGCAATAGCCCTTGCAGTTCATAGAAGCCCCAGAACTTGTAGACCAAACCTAGGATTACAAGAGTGACTTTATACGACTAGATCTATAATGTCATGATGCACGTCAACAGGCCAAGAAACGGTTGATTCTCTGAACAATTGCTGTCCACATTTAACTTTGTTGAGACGACACCAAATCCTGAAGTCCTTGTACGCAACCGCAAGGCATTGGCGGAGCGTTAAGGCCTCCACATCACCAAAGAAGCCAAGGTCAATGAGCAATAGCCTCGGCCAAGTGCCAAGTGCCCTTAAATATATATATATATATATTTATATGGTCCGGTTTCAAACAAGTATATATAATATACATACGGGAATCCAAGCCAATCAAAAACATTAGCACTGGCCCGATCAAGATTCAATGAGCTTCCGTTTGCAGTAGCCAGAATCCCCAAGTTGACATTGTGTAAGCTACAGTGTCGTAGCATCCCATAGGTGAAGTGGGGCAGGAGCAACAATGGGCCTGGGTCCCTTTCGCATCCCACCCAAAAAAGAGCTCAATCTATGTGTAAACCTATTGACTTTTGGGGAAAACATGAACATCTTCCACATCTAAGTCTGGGTGTTTGGGATGACTTGGAGAAACCATGGTGGCAATGAACTGCAACTCTGTTTTTTCTGTCCGTGCCCATCCTGGATCATCAGATAGGTCCCAGTATGTAGTGTCTTCATCGTTTTTGCTTGCATCACATCTCCAACAAAAGTTGATCGCTCGCCACGATCGTAACAACCCAAGAGAGTAAACATGCCACTCCCAGTCGCCCCGAAGCTCCACTACGCTGAAATGCATGGTCTTGCCTTCGATCATGATGCCTTTGTAGCGCCGCTGCAAAGATCTCACTATGGCCGCAAAGAGAGGGTTGAGAGATTCAGGCCCCAAACACTCATCATTCTCTAATGAGAAAAGTAACCACCTGGACATTCTAGATGACTTCGGTGTCCAAAGGACCAGGTTGATAAAATACCCAATGATTTTCTGTCCCAGAGGTGAATATTTTGCTGCATCTCCATATAGTCCCAATGGTTGATGGTGGCCAGGTGACACATCTTTCCATGGACAATTAAATGTTCTTGCATGGTCCCAAAACTTCTCCACAGCTTCATCCTCGACGACCAGATTGAGGGGCCCCATCAAAAATGTCAGAATAGTTTCTTGGAGGAATACCGGCACCTTGCGGGTTACTTTGGTCACATCGTCGCCTGAAAGCTTTGATTTCACAGGAGTTTCCACAAAAATTGGGTCCTGTCAGGGCCAGGGTTAAGCCACTCTATGACTATCCGAATCAGGTTCAAGTACATGTACATTAAACCATATTAATCCTTTTGCCACCCAGTCCAAAGACTTGAACTGTAGAGCACGTCGAAAGTCGCGGGCACGATTGTGAACGCAGTAGCTGCCTAGCTTGCGTATCATCTCAGGTAACCCTTGAGGAGTGTCCTTAGATCTAGATCTATCTAGCTCTGTAAATCGCAGGGTTTCACACCTGCAAGGTTGGTTGACATGTGCCAAGTGGCTTTGACCCGTGCGTTGAGGTCAGACATCTTCTCCTCAATGGAGGCCTGGGACTGGGATATTTTTCTTGGTGGGGGTATGAGATCAACGTTCCGATTCCCGCAAAAACATTTCAGCATGCAATGCAATGACTAGGCAGCCAACCCCTGCAGCCACTGAATCAAGCACATGGTTGAGCTGGTGTTGTCGATCTTGATCATCAGCAACTTCACCTGCGCTGGTTGAGCATGAACGTACAAGGGCATTTCTGGTACATGTACATGTGAAGAACCAGGTGCATCAGCAAATCGCGAAGGTGCACCTCTTTGTTTTGCTCCGATGCATTTGAGCTAGTTTGTCATATGCCATATGCCCCTACTTCATGAACAACCCCCGCCTCTGCCACGTGTCAAGTGTCTATCGGGAATATATATATATATATATTGTTTCTGAGCTAGTTCAGACCTGAACTACTGTTGACTGGCACGTGGTCTAGGAGGTGGTCAGGGAAGTCACGATCATGATCAGCTGTTTCGCCAAAACCACAAGGATGAACACATTTATTTAGATCCATGGCGACCACAAAACTGCTGATCTTCCACTAGAAACTAATCGGATGTTTTCCGCTTTTTCCCACTCAGTGGCTCCATGACTGTGTCTGCAAGCTCGTTCAGGTTTTTGCTGCGCTGGGTGATCTTCTCCATCTCTGGTACCTGCCCACAACGTATATGATCTAGATCATCCTATATATTTTATACATTCAGTGCGATCTGAAGCAGCTTCAACTCAGAGTGAAAAACCTTGTGGCCCAAGTCCTACAAGGATCACCAGTAGATCCAACAAACGATTTTGTACGTGAACATACAGCTAATCCCCACTGACACATCACACAGTCGGTCACCTCAACGCCAGATTCCAATGCAGTCTGGAGTTCGGTTCGTCCAGACCCCAGCTTTTTGAGCAGATCCTCAATGTCCTTCTCAAGGGCTGCCCGCACATTCTTGGACCTGGTCATGGGATGAGTGAAGCAATTAAATTACACAGGCCAGCTCTGAAATCCCTGTATCGTGCTAGATCATGTGCATGACTGTTGGGGCCAACACCATTGGGAAGCTTTGTTCTTGATCTCATGAGCCTTTTTGATCTTTGAAGTCATCGCTGAAAGGACCTCCACAAGAGATTGGAATTTGAAGATCAGTTT